TCACCATCCTGACTTGTCATTCCTGTGCTGAGTCTGTCGTGTTCTGCTGAAGAATTACTGGGAAGGTACTCATGTTCTGTTAGCTGAGATGACAGCTCATCTTTAGAGCTTTCTTCTTCATTTTCACCGTCCCTCAGCTCTTGCACTTTGTGGAAGTCTGGCTGTCCTCCAGAGCCCAGCTCAAAGGTTTCAGCAAGTCCATTATAGCTACTACTGCTTGGGGACTGATGATCACTGCCATGATTCATCTTCTGACAGAGAACTGTTGGGTTCCCTTCTAACACTTCAGTGCATTTGTCTACTACGTGCCACATCTGAAGGAAACTTGCTGCTGTCAGATAACTGACAATTTCTGGAGCAGGCATCACCAACCGTCCCGTATAAGTAGACAGAAGGATATTTTCAAACACTCTTGGATTCATCACATCCGGAAGGACTATTCGCCTGCTATTTTTCAAGAGTACTTGGTCACAGAAGTAAGGTGAGCTGGCTGCAAGGACAGCTTTATGGGCTCTGAACAGATGGCCCTGAACTACAATGGAAACATCACATAACTGTCCCTGCTGGCGCTGCTGGTTCAACTTCTGCAAAATGGTGCTAGAAAAATCAGGAAATTCCACTCGAAAAGAGTTTGTCCCAGACTCCATTTCATTACAAATCTAGTGTTGTGCTGCAAGAGAGAGGAAAATATAACCAGTTTCAACATAACTAAGCAGCATTTATGATGAGGCTAAGTTTGCTCATTCCACTCTCTTATCTTCAAGTCTTTCCTTTTTTAGGAAGGGACACTTAAGTGGGCTGACATATTTAAGATAAGTGGGTTTACTTACCCAAAAAAACAAAACTTTTAGGAACCTCCACAGTTGCCAGGCTGTTTCTGCCTTTTCTATTCCCCTTAGTCTTTCGATTTTAAAAATGTTCTACAAGATCACAAGCTGCTACACCATCTGTGCACAAACATGAAGGTTGGACATATAAGCTGTATTGCGTATTCTGTACAGCTAGTTATTCTATGGGAATGGGGTTAGGAGGGTCAAGTGTAAAAAAAGTGGTTATTTTGATGAGATTACAGCAGTAGGGTTGCTTGCATTCCTTATTAACTAATTCCACAATGTCCCAGAGTTTCTCAAGTGGGAGAAATCAATTCTGTTTTCCAACTGCCAGCCAAATCATCACATCAAACTTTTCTATAAGAGCAAACTGGCCCCTTTTAAGAAACTAATTCACTTTATTATTTAAAAAAAATAAGTAATATGTTATTTCATAGCTCAATATAATGAGTCACATATTGCAAGAAAGTGACTGTCAGAGTCCTAAATAGAGCAAAGTTAGTGACCTTTATTATGAACAATATTTTTCTGCACTCATTTTTTAAAAGAAGGAAGTAGATGTTGCTAGTGGGGAGCTGAGAGACTGTTACAGTACACAAATATTGAGCTTTTTCAAATGTTACTTTATTGCAAAACCCCTTGATTTAGCACCTTTTAAATTAAGTGTTTTTCTTGCTTAAACTGGAAACTAACAAGACTAAACTCCTCAAATAAACTGAAGGTTATTAAGGGTCTCAAATAGTTCAGCTGTTTAGTTACAAAAGGAAAAGACATACCCAGGCTCAAAGTCTGTTACATGATAGTAAAGAAACAGAGATGATTTATATTTTAAAGTTTTATTTAAAGTACCAAATTATAAGCAAAGACATAGGCCAACAGGGGTGTAAAATTACTGGGTTACAAATCCTGAACAGGAATTATGGAAACACCAAAAAAAAAATGGTTCTCATTTAGCCGTGTGGATACATTTGTAGATTATGTAACTGAAAACTTTAAAAAGAGCACAGGCTTGAATCAGATGTAGTGTGGTCAGATGCTATTTGAGCTTCCAGAAGTTTTTGTGCATCAGCTACTTGAAAGAAAAACTATTATTTTTTATGATCAACAGAATGGAAGAAACTGTTAGACTGTGACAGTCAATTACAGGAATATACTTTTCAATGCATGGTATTTAGATTTTCTTCAAAGTATCTATATTGTTGAAATCTTTAGCTCTTGGAACAAAGTTCTGACTTTCATAAAAAGTTCTTTCTAATGTTTAACAGAGACTGGACAAAAATCTAGGAAAGAAGCCCCAATTCACTCATAGAATCATAGACACGTAGGGCTGAAAGGGACCTTGAGAGATCATCAAGTCCAGTCCCCTGCGCTGAGGTAGGACCAAATAAACTTAGTCCATCCCTGACAGATGTTTGTCCAACCTGTTCTTAAAAACTTTCAAAAAAATCGGGCTTCCACAATCTCCCTTGGAAACCTATTCCAGAGATTGAATTCCCTTAAATTTAGAAAGTTTTCCTTGAAATCTAACCTAAAACACCCTTGCTGAAGATTAAGCTCATTCTTATTACAAACAAGCACATGTATGCAAAATTTGACAAGTATCAATATTTCATTTAGGAGATGCTAAACAAACAGCATCATTATTTGCATGCAAAGCACAGACTACACAAAGAGAATAATGATGCAAGTCACCCATAACAATTCAAATGATAACTCATGATTATCTCTTCCTGGTCATTTTGGAGGCAGAGATGCACTTTGCATTCAAAACAGAAGTTATCAGAACTCCTTCATCCAAAATTTAATAAAGGGAAAAGAAATATCTACATTAAGGCTAAAAATTAAAGCAGCATAATTGTCTTGCCTTTTTTATTTAGTTAGAGGTCTAACAAAAAAAAGAGAGTCGTTGGAGGTGAATAATCACAATATACTTATTTGCATTTGTGTGTAACTAATCAGCATTCCTACTAACCTCACTACCATTTACAGGAGGCAAACAGACATGTACTGAATTGTCATAGGATCATTTTCAGCCACTCATGATGGGTGATCATTATCTGATATCAATTTGTCCAATAACTGATAGTGTGCCAGCCAGTCAAAATGCTAAATGGCTGATTTCCTTTTAAACCAGTAGATTATTAATAAAAGTATCAGATTTTAAAAAATTTTATTGGAAGGAAAGCTATTTCTGAGGTCTTACCAACCAGTTAATTGCCTTGTATCTGCTTCTAAGAGGGCTCTTTTGGGAAGTAGGAACCAGGTAACAGGTATAATGGCGTCTGCATATTTAATCTTAGTATTTACCAGCAATCCTCACTTTCACTCCCCTTCACTCTTTCCTACAAATATTGCTCCTCTTTTACAGGAGTGCAATCAGCTCTTATTAGGAGCATCACTTTCCTTATGCCTATGCTAGGGCTGCAGTCATCCCTGATAAAGAAAGAAACCCAGTCCCACTGTAAGAATTCCAGCCAATGCAGCCTACCGTGGCACTGATGTAGAAACAGTACTGTCATGGATAAGTTATTTTCTGCTTTGCAGAAGCACATAACAAGGCTACCGAAGTGCAGCTCTTCAGTAACAACAAGCAGACAGCCATTATCTCTTATCCTATATTTTTTAGGAACAACTTGTCTTACATAATTATCCTACTATAAGAATTCTTATTCTTTATAACAAATGTTATGCTAAATGCATTTTTGAAAGGCATTACTATGACTAGCCTAAACTACCATCTTTCAACAAGCATACATCCTAATCCCATAAAGATGTACACAACAGAATACATATGGGTTCAACATGGTAACATTTCTAGAAGGGATCTGTTTTCTTGCTTTTGTATACGAAGTTTACCATTAAAAATAAGTGTTTACATAAAGGCAGTCAACTTAATCATGCTGTAAACAAAAATTTATTTACATATTATTAATAAGTTAGCTATGAAAAGTTAAAGTATTTTTAAAATGTTGTTTTCTTTCCCACTATTTACTGTCTGTGTTTCCTTACTGTATTTATTTCATCTTGGACAATGAAAGTCAATAAAACTGCCCCCTTTTGGTTAAAGAGAGTTCCATACTCTTAGTACTAGGATGTTTGGGTTCAAACATTGCAAGGTAAAATATGATTAGAATAATATATTTTGGAAATAAATAATTGGTCTCAAAATTTATAAAAGCTTGTTTTTACAAAATGTGTTACTTTATTATTTGTTATGCAGAGCACCTCAAGGCTCAAGCACATTAGCTGCACTACACATCTTAAGAGTTCATGCTCAGAAAAGTTTACAATCTAAAAAACAGACACCAAAAAACCCCCAAAGGAACTATTATACCCATTTTACAGATAGAAAGTTGAAGTACAGAGAGATTAAATGGTGTGCCCCAGGTTGCTAAAGAAGTCTATAGCAGAGCCAGGAACTGAACACAAGTGGAAGGATTTACCATTGTATATCCAAGGGTGGAAGGCGTCTATGACTGGTGCTACTTGTGAAGTACTGTATAACTACATAACTTTGCAAAGAGTACTGCAGAGCTTTACCCTCGGCAGCATTACTCAGCCCACCTCAGGTGGTTAAAGGATGCCTCACTAAGCTTCGAAGCGAACATCCTACTGAGAGGCATCTGCCCCCTTAACAACACTGGGCTGAGGACTTTCACAGGCTGCCCATCCCCTGGCTGTTTTGTGCCTGCCCTTTCCTGCTGCTGGGAATCAGCGGGGCTGAACAGGGTGCGACGGCGCCCACCGGAACATGTCGGCCCAGCCCCCGGGCGGGAGGTCCCTGCTGTGGGACGGAGAGCTCTGCGCCCGTCGGGGGTCCCAGGCCGGGGCGGCCTCAGGCCGCGCCACAGGCAGACAGACCCGGGCGGCGAAGCGATAAGACTCGGCCCCTCTCACTTCTCGCGGCAACACCGCGCGGGGGCGAAGGGGGCGCCCAGGAGTCCCCCTCTGCGCCTAGATCCAGGTAGGGCCTCACCTGGGGCGGCGGGGAATCTCTCACATGGCCGGTCCCGCTGCTGGGCTCCGATCGCTGCTGCTACCGCCGCGACTTCCCGGCCTCAGCCCGGCAGCGCGCGGAAGCGATTCCTCCCTATGCGCGCGTTCGCTTCCGGGTCATGAGGAACCGGAACTGTTCCACCTGTTTCCGGTTCCGGCTCAGGCTAGGGTCACGGGGTCGGGCCGAGCTGCGACCAGACCCGGCCCGGCTGCGAGCTCGAGCTCCCCAGCGCGCGTGAGGGCAGGCACCCGTCCTAACGGTTGTTTCAGTTACAGTAGTACTAGGAGGCCCCAGTTATTCTAGGTACTACAACTATAGTCTGAGTCAGTCCCAGGCCTGAAGAGCTTCCAGTGACCGCCTGGGGGGCGGGAAATAGAAGTGCAGAGAGGTGACGTGACTTGCTTGAAGTCACATAGCAGGTTGCTGAGGCGGGAATAGAACTGAGGTTCTGTAAATTCCAGCCCACTGGACTAAATTGCTTCTTTGTATATCTAAGGAGCCTTTCTATCTCTATTTTCGTCACTTACCTAGAGCTCTTTGTTTAATTTACTTACAAAAGGAAATTGGATACAGAAAATATTCACCATGTAAAGACTTAACAGGTGCAGAGAAGCCTGTGTAGATTTAGGGACATAATTTGTGGAGGATTTGGTATTTTTTGTTCCTGTCCTGGTTATAAGATTAAAATAAGACATCCTGCTCATATAGAATGGTTTAGATTGGAAGCTCTTCTGGGCAGGGATGTTTTATTTGTTTTGAAATGTATGTAAATGTACACCCCTGGGACATTAATGATTAGACAGTTCATACCCTTGATACATCATCCTTTAATTTAGGGGCAGTTTGAGCTGATAGTTATGCTGTCCTCTGCCTGAATGTTCTACTTCACTCTAACTCCGATAAGGAGTAAAGTAAATAAACTTGTGCTCAAAATGAGGGATATTGCTGATAATAAGAGGCAGCTGAGAAGAGCAGATATGGTCTCTGAGCTATCCAATTTCTCATGCTTGTCCTGAGCTAGGAAAGTATCGAGTTTAACTTCAGTCATGTTCTGATATAAAATCATTCACAATACAAATTTGAATGAGAAAGAAGACCATAGTAAAGAGTTAGGGCTGATTTTGGAAGGAACTTGTGGCGGTGAATATCTGTGTCTGTGAAGAGTATTACTGTTGTCACTGGGCCACCATGGAGGCACAGGGTCTCTCTGTGTGGTTCTTGGTGGAAAGTCAGGGCTTTCATCTTTCCTTTTGGCAGATAGGTAGGCTCCAAAGATAAGGCAAATTCATTAGAATTATCCCTGACAAACTTTATGACCCAGTTCTACCCAAGTCTGTTGTACACTTGTAGAACACAGAAAAGGCTGTGTTACAAGAATTGCCTTATAAAAGGAAATGCTCAGTTTTCTGTAGACTGGCTGTCTCCAGCATAGGAACTTAATACTGTTATTTATCATTTGTATAATGTAGGAACCAGAGACAACACTAAGGACTGGGCCTCATTGTGCCAGGTGCTGTACAAACATAGAGTAAAAGTCAGTCCCTGTCACAAACAGCATAAAATCTTGTGAGCAGATATGCATGGATATGCACCCACTAAACAAAGTCAGCGGTGCTTTGTGTGGGGATGCAGAACTGAGGCATGATTAAAGACAAAATTCAACAAGTAGGTTTAACAAACAATAGGAGGAAGAAAAGAGAGAAAGGACTAGTGCAATGAGATAATCATGGACTTGAGTTCAATTGTGATGGGGAACTTAAAGTTAAGCATGTGAATAAATGTTTGCAGGGTTGGAGTCCATGTGATCCCAGTTCAGTTAAAAATATGTAATTGCTTGTAATCTCTGCCTATGCTAATTTTCACTGGGAAAATAAACTCAGTGGGATTTTTTCCTATTTTTTTTTTATCTGTGACTGTATTTATACAAACACATATTTGAAATTATTTTAATATTAGAAGCATTAGGCTCTCTTGTCAATCTAGTAAAATCTCAATTATTCTAAAAGTTAAAGGTGAGGTGATCAGAACATCAGGGTTCTTGTTATGCCTAGGGTGACCAGATAGCAAGTGTTTAAAATTGGGAAAGGAAGTCGGGGATAATAGGCACCTATACAAGACAAAGCCCCAAATATCTGGACTGTCCCTATAAAATTGTGACATCTGGTCACTCTAGTTATGCCTATTAGGAAACTTAGAGAACTATCTGGAAGCCTAGAGGGAAATTGCGTGAGTAGCTAGTGATAGGGATGTGATTACTGAGTGGAATGAATTGTCAGTGGAGTTTGAAGAGAGAGGAGCAGGTGAAGTTGTGTACTGTAAGGAGTGGCTTCATTTGATTGAATCTAGAAACTTCTGGAATGTGTGCAGGACATCAGATCACCAACTGTTGACTGTAAGTTCAGCTCCCTCATACAACATTTCTGTTGTAAGTAATTTATAATAGAGTGAAAAAGCACCAGGTTTGTGGGACATGGAGTAAATGTAGATTTTTGAGAGGCATGCTTGCTCATCTCTTTTATTCACCAGGAGCTAAATATTCTTAGAATCCCCTGGAGGTAAAGTGCATGAGAGAAAATATAATAGGGATTTGTATCAAGGTTCTCTTCACTATCTCCAACTGCTCTTTGAGTGCAGTAGATAATTTTAAGAATATTTTTGGTTGCCACACAGATACAAATTTGCAATATATAGTATAGGTGTGGCTGTTTAATCTATTCTGCTTAATGTGAAAGTCAGCAGAAAGTAAATTAAATTAGCTATGCAAAATTGAATTTGCAAACCAAACATTTTGGGGCAATAACTAAAGACAGCATTATATTTTCATCAGATTGTTAAGGGTTTAAATCATTTTATGGGGCAGAACCTAACATATACACTGTAACTTCTTAACAGTGTGGTAAATAATGCCTCTCAAGTGTATTAAAAACAAGAAGATTGTTTAAAAAATACATCTTTAAATTGGAAAAGAGGCTTAGTCCAACAAGGCATCAAAACAGACAAACCTTTCTCCTGACACATATCACTTGGACTCTTGTTTAATGTACTGAAATAGGAACACAGGAATTATTGCCATACTTGATCAGACCAGTGATCCATCTCATCCTGTCTCCTACAATACCTAAGTAATAGCTGCTTCAGAGGAAGGTATAAGAAACCCTTCAGCAGGCAGTTGTGGAAAACCTACCCACACGGAAAGTTTCTAACCTATTAGTTAGTGATTGGGTTATGCTCTGAAGCATGAGGATTTATAGCCCTTCCAAAACTCTTGGCTATATTTTTAATTATTACTATTATAATTATTAATTATACTTACTTATACAGATGCTCCCCGGGTTATGCAAACCCAACTTACGGAAATCCGGACTTACAGGAAAAGTTCCATAAGTTCCGTAAGCACTTTTTTGTTGTTGTTGCATAATTGTCGGAGCTACATTCCCGTTTTACGCAAAATTCGACTTATGCAAGGCGTTCTGGAACGCTTGCGTAAATCGGGGAGCTTCTGTAATTAAACTACTTACTGTAGTTTTCTGAAAATTAATGAGAGTGCATTCACATTAAGGAGTGACTAGATCCCATAATATCTCCTCTCCATGTCCTAAATAGATTGTTTACATTCTTCAACTCAGTTTCTCTAGATCAGGGGTCTCAAACTCAATGTACCTTAGGGCCAGTGCCAGTCCTGAAATCCTCCCAGCGGGCCAATAATGTCACTGAAGATGGTGTTCAGAAAAGAAAATGTTTATATTGTATTTTTATTTAGAATTTCTTAGAAATAATAAAATTGTCATACAACTTTATACAATTCTTTGCCTGCCAGAGAGTTTTTAGTCTTTGCCAGACCCTGGCAACGCTTCCAGTTTGTTGATGTCTGACTTCATTGACTGAGCAGTTGAAACCTTCAGGATTGCAGCAAGGTGTGCATCAGATCGTTGTGTTCGGTATTTTGACTTGTTTATATGCATTGTGGGGAAAAAGTGACACTGCCTCCATGGTTGACTCTGCCTGGCGACTAGTGATGGTATCTCTGTCCTTCTCCCCCAGCCAATGGGAGCTGCGGTGGGCGGTGCCTGCAGCAGACATTGCCGACAGCATGGCTGCATGCGTCTCTCCTCCGTGGGCCACAGTGGGGAGGTTCTCGGACCGCAGGTGGCCCGCGGGCCGGGACTTTGAGACCCTTACTCTAGATTAACTTGGCATCTTCCTTTGTCATTTCCTAATGGGCTGGAGCCAAGAATCATTCAGCAGGATCTCCATTGGTAGAAATTCAGCACAAGCTGAATGTACAGTAAACTCATCACTGTTAATAGAACAACACTATATATATTTTGTAAAACAGTGTGGTGTTAAATCTAATAGGGTTCCTTTCACATATTGGCAAAGGGCAAATGCCCCTTTTGGCCAGCCCTTAATCCACTGGTATATATGACATAGATAAAGATGGACCAATATAAGATATCTCTTTCAAAATGCCAGCCGGGGTCCCACCGCCGGTCCCACTCAGCGCCCTCAGGAGCTGGCGGCTGGAACCTCAGAGCAGCAGCGGACTGAGCCACTCAGTCACTGCTCTGGGGTTCCGGCTGCTGGCCCCTTGCCAGCCGGGATCCCCGCCGCAGCCCCACTCACCTTGCTTCCGGTTGGAGTTCCAGCGCAGGCCCCCTGCCAGACAGGGGCCAGGCCTTCAGCCCTACCAGCCGCCATCTCCACTCACCTCAGCTGCGGACCTGGGGTTCCAGCCGCTGACCTCCTGCCAGCCGGTTAACAACTGATCACTCATAAGCCTGTGTGCAGCTTAAAGTATCCAAATACGTGCCAGACATTCGAAAACTCAGCAAGGAAAAGCAAGGGCAAGGATCACACTAAACTGATAAGATCTGCATTTTAATTTAATTTTAAATAAAGCTTCTGAAACATTTTGAAAACCTTGTTTACTTTATATATAACAGTAGTTTGGTTATATAATATATAGACTTATAGAGAGACCTTCTAAAAAACATTAAAATGTATTACTGGCACGCAAAGCCTTAAATTAGAGTGTATAAATGAAGACTCGGCACACCACTTCTGAAAGGTTGCCGACCCCTGAACTAATGTAATTGAGGGCCCTAGTCAGGGTTAATGAGTGAATGAGAGCTGCTACTTATGGTCATACTTTAAGCCAGTGCTTCTCAAGCTATCTGATGTGGGGGACTGGCAATTTTTTTTCCCAATGTGCCAGGGACCGGTGCCATATTATTATCCTATTTGACACTCTTATGAGGAAACTCGCCACGGACCGGCAGCTGATGGCTCGTGGACCGGCACCG